ATTCTTTTTAAGAGCCTTTAGTAAAGAAATGTGGCCGTGGAAAAGAATTCTGCTTCTTGACAATTGGGATTTACTCTAGTGCCATCCCTCATGGTACAGAGAAGAGTAGCAAACTGTCATATTCCCTAATGGTAGTTAGAATCAGATGTTCCTTCTACACAGCTTGTAACCTTTGAATATGGACTTTCAGAAAGATAATTATTATTTGGAATTCAAGGAACAATGTTATCCCTGATGAAATTATGACTAAAGGAGTTAGTAGCTATTATTTATTTATTCTTAATAGTCAAATCTAATCAAAATGCAGGGAACCTGACTCGGTACTGCACAAATGACTTAGATTAATGGTGCCAAACCCAAACAGAAATGGGAGACACCAAACTGTACATATGAATCCCTGAAGACTGAATATTGACTTAGAAAACCACATAGTAACATCATCTGTGTTTTATTGTATTTTTACTTATTTTGTTAAATAGTTACCATTTCTTACATTTTAATGTGGTTGGGGTTACTCAGGAGTATTGTGGCCATATGTTTAGACAATAAAAAACCATCAATTGACTTACATCATTTAAGCACATAAAGGCAAGAATCAAGTCTACTTATTACAATATAGCAGATGTTATTGATGATCTTTGAATTCAATGATCTTGAAAAATAGTAGAGAATGGGAAATGTGCCACAGGACTGGAAACAGGCAAATGGAAAGGGAGAGAGAGAGAGAGAGAGAGAGAGAGAGAGAGAGAGAGAGAGAGAGAGAGAGAGAGAGAGAGATTCTAGAACATCCTGAAACCATTAAGTGGCATTTTAAAAGGGAAGTGGTAATCATGATGAGACTACATAGGTTCATCAAGAATAGATCCTGGTTTTTTCCCAATTAGGGAAATGTTTGCTTGTGATATGCCTTAATTACGGTAAGACATTTAACAAAGCTTTTCATGACATGGACAAGATGGAGTGATATGAGCTAGATGATAGTATTGGTAGGTGGATTTATAACTGGTTCATTGAATAGATCAAAACTGCTTATTAGTGGATCATCATTCCACTGGGACCTTGGGAGAGCCACCAGGATCCCCAAGGAATTTGTCCTTAGTGCTTTTCTGTCCAACAGTTTTTAATCAGTAACTTCTATGAAGTCATGGATAACCTTGTACATCATAGAAATTTACTAAATATCAGTTGGATGAATCAATAAATTTTCAGATCAGACAAAGCTGGGAGGGATAGTTGATAGACTTGACATCTAGAACAATAGACTGAAGGTAATAAGTTGAAATTTAATAGGAATAAACATGTTAAAATAAACTGCATAAGATCAGGATGGAGAAGAAAATGTGTAAGTAATCTTGCCATTTTAGTGGACTGTGAGTTCAATATGAATCAACAATATGACATGGGAGACAAAGCACTAATGTGGTCTTGTTCTGTATTAATCATTTATCCAGGATAAGGGAAGTAAGCATCCCACTGTATTACAGCTTAGACCTATCACTGCTATGGTTCTGGGTGCTGTATCTTATTAATTTTTATTTTTCTCAATTTATAATTTCTGTTGCATCTTTTTTATCAGACTCATACCCTAATATGCCACCTCCATTGAATTCTCCCCTGTAAAAAAGAAAAATTTAAGTGACACAACCAAAAAAAGTGACTTTATCTGACAATGACATCCTTCCATACTAATAGTCTCTTTTCCTGTGTATCGAGATGCTTTTTTTTTCTTTCTAGAACTAAGAATGGTCATTGCATTTAGTCTGAGTTCAACAGCATTTTAGTGGCAGACTTGTGAAATGGTTTAAACTTTCTAGAAAACCATTTAAAACTATACAAGAAAAGTCAACACAACTGTCATTTTCACCTCACCAATCCAGGAGGGCAATAACCAATGACCAAAAAAAAAAAAAAAAGAGAGAGAGAGATACCATATACATAACACCTGGGGTCACCTACCAGTTCACTTGGGGAAATGAACCATCAGGAGGGCAATGACCAAAAGAGATAGAGATAGAGATATATATATATATGTAATACCCAAGGCCACCTCCCAACTCATAGAGCTGGTCCCACATAGAAGGGAAGGTTCAAGTTTTCTATATCCACTACAAATCTTAGGTCAAGAGTTCCCAAAGTGTTTACCTTTATTAGTCACTCAGCCAGAGGACACAGCTAGTTCAAAGCAAAGTCATCTATTTAATGAAACAACATAGTAAGAAAAGTAATAATAAAACATTTCCTTTATAAACCTAAGGCACACTTTCCCCCAAAATATACACACTTTAGGAGGAAGGATGTACATAGGGAAAATATGCAACCAGAATACCCGGGTAGAGGAGCACACACATAGCGAACTGGCCTCGTGATGTTTTCTGAGGTTGCTTTTCCTCTGATGTGTTTTCTCTGCCAGGCATGATGTTTCCATCACATGATACTCCACTGAATTTGTAGTTAAATCTGCTTTCCTTGCCTCATCTTGTGCTACATGTATCCTGTCTGTTGGACACTGTAGCTAGACACATGGTTATGAAGTATCTCTCTGCTTCCAGCTTTTAATTTCATTCAATTTTATTTTATTTCCTGTTCCAAATTCTCTCCCTCCCCTATTCATTGAGAAGGCAAGAAAAATAAAGGCCATTACAAACATGTATAGACATGCAAAACAAGTTTCCACATTGAGCTTTTAGTTTCAGCCAGAGTTCTTGACCATAATGTTTTTTCTTCCTCTTCAGAAAAGCATACTCTGACTTTGTATTTTAGTGTAAGACCCCAAAGCATTACTTGGCTCTTTAAGAAAAGTAGCCTGGGGCAACTAGTGATGCAGTGGATAGAACACTAGCCCTAGAGTCAGGAGGACCCGAGTTCAATTCTAGTCTCAAATACGTAACACTTACTGGCTGTGTGACTCTGGGCAAGTCACTTAACCCCAATTGCCTGGCAAAAAAAAAAAGCCCAACAAACAACAACAACAACAAAAAAATAAAACTAATAGCCTTCAAAGTCATCTGACTAGCAGTCTGGGACAAGAGGAAAGAGGTAAACTTTACAGATTCCTGCCCCCACCTCCTATGAAGCATCCTCTCTGTTCTTTGCAGAATTTTACACATGCCAGCTTTTTCATATCCAGCAGCAGATTCTTTGTCCCAAGTGTCAAGCTCCTTGGGCCACATGGCTAGTACCTCAGGCCCAATTCTATTTTTTTCACTCAACCACCTGATCATGTGGTAAATCTATATGGTTCCCTTTTAAATTTATATTGGAGTCCTATTATTCCCCAAATTCATTTCAATTAAATTGTACTACAAAAATCCTAGAGTTGTATGTCTAATTCTGACAACCCAATAGACTTTGCATCTATTCTGAAAACACATCTAAGCCAGCAAAAAAAAAAAACCATACACACACACACACAAAACAAACAAACAAAACAAGGCAAAGGGGTTGAGGTCATTGCTTCATTGACCTAGCCACATTGATGACTTTTCCTTTGCATGTAGTGTAGCAAAGCCTCTTCAAGTCATCAGCTCTCATATTTATATCAAAACAGTCATAGCAGCATTTTTGTGCTAGCAAAAAAAAATGGAAACAAAGTGCCTGTCAATAGGAGAATGGCTGAATAAACTGTGATATACGTATATATTGGAATTTTATTGCACCATAAGAAATTAGGAATAGGGAATAATTCCAAGAAACATGAAAAGAACTTAGGAATTGATGTGAAGCAGAGAGTAGAACCAAAAGAAGAATACATCTAAAGGGTAACACATTTTAGGAAAGACATTTACAAACTAGATCACAAGCAGATGCCATAGGAAAAACCTGGGGGTGTTTGTCTTGGAAAAAAAAAGACATAGTAGGGCTGTGATCAATTGCTTTCAAGGATTTTAATGTTTATCATGTGTAAGAGGGATTAGATTTGTTCTGCTTGACCTCTGATGGCATAACTAGAAATAATGAATGGAAATTTTAGTGAGGCAGAAACATTTCCTAACAATTACAGTCATTCAAATGTCAAATGGGCAGCCTGGAAACATAGTACCTTCCCCATTACATCAAGCAGAGGTTCACTAACCAGCCACTTGTCAGGAATGTCATAGGATCTTAGATCTTGAGTTGGAAGGGACCTCAAAGGCCAGCTAGTTCAATCCTGGTTTGTACTAGTTAGCTTCTGAGATTCCCTTCAATCTGGATGTTTTGTGAAGAGACCCCAAGGAACTATCCAAATTCTTTGTTTTGCTGAAATTATAGTCATTATTGATTAAATAGGTATAACACTGAATGAGACCTGCAAATCATTTCATAATGAAGCACTTTTGTTTCAAGGGCAATTATTGTACCAGAATCTGAACTGTGTATACTTGTGCATCTCTGGAGCATTCCACAGATAAAAGTGCCTATGGGATGGAGTAAGACTAGGTTGGAAATCAGAAGATCTGAGTTCTATCTAGCTTATCTCCTTATTACCTATAGCAGCTCGACTTCTATGCTCTAGGTCTCAGTTTCCTCATCTGTAAAAATGAAACAGCGTTCTAGATGGTCTCTATGGTCCCTTCCTTGCTATGAAATTCTCTGATCTTAAGTGTCCCCTCTGAGCCCCTAATTTAATTTGTGATATCAGCCAGAACTGCACAAGATAAAGTATGGGGGATATGTATCTCTATTCTGAGCTTTAAACTTCTGTATAGATATTTGTTATACAAATGATTGGAAACTGATGAAGGCCATTCACAAAGACACATCAACCTTCAGTTTCACAGCCTTCCAGGGAGCTCAAGGAGGGTGGTTGTCACCATCACCTCTACTCAAAGACCAGAGTCTCAAAGGTCAAGACCACAGTGCAGTCTCTCCATTGTTGTAAAAGTTAATGAAAGTTAGCTATTAAAACTGATGGTAAGTTTATTTCCCCACAGTCTTATGTCAGCTATATATATATATAGAAAGTTTGATCCATATGGAAGCAAAGTGAGTGGACACACATTGCTATGTACCTTGTCTTTCAGAAACATTGGCTCTGCTTTATCATGAGATTCTTGCTCTGTCTTTGATGACCTTCACCAAGGAGGTAACAGGTAGGAGTAGAATTTCTTTTACTTATACTTGTCCTCTAGGTATGATATGCCTCCAACTAAAGGTAGGAAGTTTTAATCTTTGAAGCACCCTGAGGAGGACAGATAGCTCTGAGCTACTTTCTTTTTTATTATTATAAAAATAATTTACTGATAGGTTTAGCTCTTTCTTCTATGCAAGTTTACATGTGCTATAACATTTCATAATACTCTGATGGACAGTGTTTGGGACAGTCAATCTACCATGAGAAGTAAATATTTGATCAATTACTCTGTGGATTGAATCCATGAAAACTGACAATTGGGATAGTTCCAGCTAAAATCAACTTTTTCAAACTTGCAAAGGTACTTGCCTGAAAGATTTCAATGTTTCTCTCAACTGTCCATTTTCATACTTTCTAGCATGGTAAGGAGATCTGGGCTCTAGTCCCAGGCCTGCCATTCACTGACTTTGAGCAAGTGATCTTAACAGATGTCTTTGGCAGAACACAGAGAATAACAAATACTTTCTTACAATCCTGAAGGGCAGAATCTGTCTTTGCCTTTCTTTATAGCCTCAACACTTAGCACAGTGTCCAGATCACAGTAGGTACTAAATAAATGCTTGATGTGACTTGAAGCTATTTGGGGGAAGTTTGCTTTGTTTTGAGTGATGTTTGCCATGTAATCTTGGATAAGTTAGTTCATCTAGCTGGGCCCCAATATCCTCATCTGTAAAATGAGAGAGTCAGAATGTAATTTCCAAAGCCCCTTCTACCTCTAATATTCTCTGATTTTGATGATGGTATAGTAGAAAGGCAAGTTAATGGAATGAAAAGTTCACTAGACCTAGAGCTAAGAGACCTAAATTTGTGTCTCACATCTGCCACCTATTAGCCTTGAAGTTGGAGTGATTATTTAAGTATTCTGTATTAACTTTCTTCTTCTGTAAAATAGGGATAATAGTTATTCGTTCTTGAGCTGCCCAATACTATGCAGATGAGAATGAGTACCAAGTACAATAATATAGCAGGCTCTTAATTTCCAGGAGACTAGAAGGAATTTAGAAAAGAACTCTCAACTCTAGAATTCATCCATCTTTTTGAACCCTGAGTGCTACTTCCAGTCTTAAGCATTGACCATGGATGCTACTGGAAGGCCTAATTCACTAGAATTTCTCCAGTAGAATGTAAGCTAGGTGGTGCAGTGGTTACAGCTCAGCCCTGGAGTTAAGAAGACCTCAATTCAAATATGGACTCAGACACTAACTATGACCTGGGCAAGTCACTTAACCTCTGTTTGCCTCAGTGTTTTCATCTGTAAAATGAGGTTAATAATAGCATCGACCTCCCAAGGTCAGTGTGAGGATCAAATGGGATAAAAATTGTAAAGTGCTTAGCACAGTGCCTGCCGCATCGCAAGTGCTAGATAAATGTTAGCTGCTATTATTATTGTCATTATCATCATCATTCTTGGGTGGAGGTGACTGTTCCACTTTTGCCTTTGTGCCCGCATAGTGTCTGGAACATAGTAGAAGCTTAATTAATGCTTGTCAATTGACTTATTAGATGAAGAAAAAAGGAATGCTTCCTAGAAATGTTGGGCATGAATTGAGCCTTAAATGTGTACAGATGGAGAAAGAAAAGGAGAGGAAAAGATAAATAAAAAAAATTTGTGAGCCAAGGAAGTTCATAAACCAACAGGCTGAAGAAAAAAGTTTGTTTCAGAGATAAATTTGAATGGGCAAAGGATTAGGAAGACTACCTAATAGCAACAACACCTAATCTCCATTGGCTACCTTTCAATTCGATAAGAAAATATTTTCAGGGCAACCTATATTTATAATATAGGCCCTATCCTCAGGGAATGTGCCATTACATGTAAATGAGAGTACCTACAACCTCCTTTAAGGCTCAACCCCTGCCCAAATTTTCTATGAAGCATTCCCCAACTCACTAGCCTCCATTCATCCCTCCCTCTGAACGTCTGCAGCACATAGTGTCTATACCTTTCATCTCGACACAACCATGTAGTATCCTGCAGTGTTACTGTGTGTTCTTATCTCCTCAAATAAATCCTATGCTTCTTGAGGGTACAGACCTTGTCTTTTGTAATCCCCATGGCATCACACACACAGCTGGGCACACAGAAATATTCGGAGTCTGGCAGGGAGCCAGGCCTATAGAAGGAGAAATGAAAGGAAATGGAGATGTTTAACATTTAGCTTGGAGAAGAGAACTGTCAATTTAATTAATATGAATCATCCAAAAGGCAAAAATGGTAAACAACTATTTCTGGATCTCAGCCTAGGTTGATCAGAGAGATAAGCTATAGAGAACTGCATGTTTACCAAATATGCAAGAAGCAATGAGGCAGAGTAAAGATCCAAAAAGTCTCAACTGGCTAGAATGAGCAACCAAAGAGTAGATGAAATAGGGATAAATGTAAAGTGATATAATTGAGTTAAAACACACACACACACACACACACACACACACACAAGTACAGGACAGGAGAGATCTAACTAGGTCATTTGTATGGAAAAGATTTGGCAGTTTTGTGGACTGAAAGTTCAGTATAAGTCATCAGTGAAACATGGCTCTACTCCTCTCCAAAAAAAACCAAAACTCCACCTAATTCAAATTTAAACTGCATTAAGGGAAAGATTGTGCCTGGAACAAAGGAGATCACATTGTAATTTTCCCTTATTATTTGATATCTGGGGTACTGTATTCAATTATAAGTACCACATTTAAAAAAGGACATTGACAGGCTGAAGCACATCCAGAGATGGGCAACTAAGACGTTGAAGGGATTGACAACCATATTATCAACTGGGACTCAATCAATACAGCTAAAGTGAAGTCCAGGATTGCAGCAGTCATCTGCGGGGATTGTGGCTAAAAGTCTCCAGTAAGTCATGCTCAATTTGGTTATTAGTAGTTAAGATAATATAGTGATGGTTATTGTTCAAATACTTCAAGATTTGTTATTTCACCAGTGCACATACGCCTTTCACTGACACAGAACTGTCATTTCACACCTTGGTGGAGGAACTTCATGAATTGCTATTGCCAAAATAATTCATCACCCAGTAGCCAGTCTGACAATAATGGGCTTTGCCAGTCTCAGCTAGGTTGGTTAGCAGATGCCATACATACAGATTGCTTAGTAGGACCTGCTGACCTTATTCTCTGCTGTTGTATGTGGCCTTTGAGAACTCAGGGTCACGTCCATTCCACTGTGAGACATCAGAGTGGTAGTTTTGGGCTGTCTGGTTTTTTTGCTAAGCTGAGATAATCCATAAAATAAACTAAAAGTAGATAAAGGTGCTTGTAGATAAACAACGATTAAATAAATTATATATTTGGTAGTCTTGAAAAAATAATACAAGAAAATATTATTTAGGGGCAGCTAAGTGGTACAGTGGATAGAGCACTGAGCCTGGAATCAGGAAGACCCATCTTCATGAGTTCAAATCTGGCCTGAGACACTTACTAATTGGGTGATCCTGGGCAAGTCACTTAACCCTGTTTACCTCAGTTTCCTCATCTGTGAAATGATCTGGAGAAAGAAATGGCAAACCACTCCAATATCTTTGCCAAGAAAATCTCAAAAAGGATCACAAAGAGTTGAAAACAACTGAAAAATGACTGAACAACAAGATATTATTTTAGGTTTCACCAGTTGTTCTTAATCTGGGTTCCATGAACTTTGATTTTTTAAAAATAGATTTTGATCTAAAAATATTTTGATAACTATAATTGATAACTATAATAACTGTTTTGTAATCTTATTTTTTAAAAATGTTGTGCATTTAAGACCATTATTCTATGAAGGGCACCATAGGCTTCACCAGACTGCCAAATAGGTACATGCTACAAAAAAAAAAGAAAAAAGACTCCCTGACTTCTATACAAAATAGAAAACCTGGAAAACCATCTAGATCATTTGGGGAAAAAAAAACAAAACACTGTCTTTAGCCTTGTTCCCATGTGTCCCAGTGACCTGAATGGGTGCTCCCATGATTTTCTTCCTACCTCCCCTCCGCCATCATGTCAAGTCTTACCGCATTTATGTTAATTTCTCTCTTCCAGTAAGTCTCATTTAATAAATAAAACCCAATAAATTTCCAAGAATGCTGATAACCATTTATGTAGAGCATCTGAATGAAGATATTTAGGGGCCTATCCTAAATGCACTCCCAAGTGATAATAGGGGGAAGGGAAGGGAAGGGAATAAGCATTTATGAAGAAAGAGCCAAGCCAGGTACATGCCAGGTACAAATATTATCTCATTTAACCCTCACAACAACTCCATGAGGTAGGTGCTGTTGTTGTCTTCATTTAATAGATGAGGAAACTGAAGCAGACAGAGGTTAAGGGACTTGCCCAGACTCACACAGCTATTAGGGGCCTGAAGCTGGATTTGAACTCAGGTTTTCCTGACTCCAGACCCAGTGTTCTATCCACCAAACTACCTAGAGTAATTCACAGCAATAGGTGATTGGTTTTGGGGGGTCAGGTATAGGTTTAGGGGGAAAGGAGATAAGTTGGGGGTAGAAGGGACTGTGAACCAAGAAACAGCTACTAATTTAAGTAATGAAGATTGTTTAAGAGCATGAAAGACTCACAGTTATTTCTCCTATACATATCTCTCCTCTGACACTGTCCCCACCCCAGTGCAGGCTCTCATCACCTCACTCTTGGACTATTGTGACAGACAGCTTCCCTCTTCTCCCTGCCTCAAGTCTCTCCCTACTCCAGACTATTCTCCACTCAAAGTTATCAAAGTAATTCCTAACACACAGGTCTGACTGTGCCTCCCACCTTTTCAGTGAACTCTAGCATCTCTCTGTCACCACCAGGGTCAAATAGATTATCTTCTGTTTGATATTTACAGCCCTTCGTCACCTGACTCCTTCTTATCTTTCCGGTCTACTTATGCTTTATTACCCTCTGTCTACTACTTTCCAGTGCCAGGGGCCTCCTTGCTGTTTCTCCCAAGGTACCCCATCTTCTGGC